TACTCATGAATTTTATATAGGATTATTGATACATCATCCTTCATCTTCTGTTTACAAAATTCATAAATTGAAAGCAGATCTCATTTTCTTTGATTCAAACTTTGTTGGCTAATAAAAGGACCTGTAGATGTATGAAGCATCTTATTTACATATGTAGATGTATGAAGTATCTTATTTGCTGTTAGAAACTCTGATAGACCATATTCCAAAAAATACGAGGATTTTAACAGTGACATGGAGAAGACAAACATTTTCTAGGCAGCTGAATTTCTGTGCATATTTACAATTATTGTGCCATGAGTACTTGATTGGATATGCAAACTCGCTTGTTGAAGTTATCCTCAAATGCATTCTATTAATTATGCAAACTTGCTTGTGGTAGTGCAGCGTGGTGGTGTGGTGCTATTGTGGCGGTGGGGGCGTTGACGGGGTGAGGGTAGAGATAGTGGCAATGACAGTAGTGTTGATGGCGGTGTTATGTGACCTGGGTGACCAATTATTTGGGTACATGAGACAAGTATTTAATTGTGACGTGACCTAAAAATTTGATAATATGTGATCGACAAAAAAATTATGACATATAATTTTTTCCATTTGTGACCGTCGAAGTACTCTGTGACCAATTAATTGGATAATATTAAGTTATGACCTATAAGGTTTTCGATTTGGAACCGTTGAAGTAATATGTGATGATTTAATTTGATAATATGAAGTTGTGACGTATAAGTACGCATTTGTGACCAATGATTTGTAAAATTGTGATCTTAATATATTTAATTAATAAAATATTTTTAAATTAATCAATAAATACTCGATTTTTGTATTTTTAAGTTTAATATCCGAAAATTGATTTATTACATGTTTAATACCTTATTTATGATTTTGTGATCGATAAGTTTACTTGTGGCCTAAATAATTTGTGATTTGGGACTGTGACAGTAAATTTTATAACAATTGTAATTGGTTGCGATCAATTCTGCGTTAATTGTGACCGATGGTGACTTGTTAACCTTGTTAATTGTGACTTGCTCACATGTGGTCACCGTTAAGATTGAATTGGTCACATGGAGTCACATTGAATACAAATTTG